CAGAAGGCATGCTCAGTCTTGCTTTTACTTCCTGAATCACATCTCAGAGGATTTCTTTTTTTTTTTTCCCCTTTATGTCAGTCACCTCTGACACAGCCAGACAGCGGCCCTGATGAGATTCTGTGTGGACATCACTTTTTTCCCTTGCTCCAAATTATTTCTTTCTGGTCAAAAATCTTGTTGAAATCAAAATGTCTGGTCATTAGGCTTCTGCAGAGCACAAAACGCTGACCTTCACTGAACTTGAGATCATGAGAGGACTAGGAGTGGAGCAGGTTTAAGTTATCTTAGGTACTGAGGTGTGGTAAATTCTATGTTTTAGCTGCCTGGCCTTAACATCAAACTATATTGTAGATACAATTTGCTTGTCAACATCATTTTTTTTTAAAAGAAATGACCGCATAAAGTTATAAGATGATTCGAGTTTAACATGTAAAAGGAATGTTTGTGTAAATGTTAGTAAATATACCATGTATGTGAAAAATGAGATGATATAGAGGTGAGTCATCATTTTGTTTGAATGCTGATTATTTCTTTTCTTTAAAATAATATCTTAAGGACTGAGGCTAGATATTTCATATTTAGGCAAGATTGATTTTCCTGCTTGAAATGATTGAGAAATGGTGCTGTGAATAATGAGATTATAAGGGAAAGGATGTGACTTAAAAAAAAAAAGTGGTCTCTCGACCATTGGACCTTGAAATAGAAGGTCAGACTCTTAACCCCTGGCCGTCTGTGCTCTTCTGTCACTTTTCATCACATGGGAGTAACTTGCATTTCTGTCTTTCCTGCCCTTACCAGCCTTTGTCCCCTCTTCCACCAGTTCCTGGCTCGGTGCAAGACTACGTTTGATCTGACTAGATGGTGCTTTACTATCGGCCAGCTTACTGAGTTTTAATTAAATAGAATTTTCTGATTGGGCAGAAGCCTGGCTGGTGGTCTTCACTCTTTGACTACGGATCCTTGTCTTATTTGATTTTTGTATGATGTTTCATGGCTGGACCGTTTTTAAAAAGAACTCTTTTAGGCCATTGGTTCATGAGAGAGAGAGACGTTACGCCACTTGAGTAGTGATGGCAACGATATTCTAGACGTAATAGTTCCTATCACTGCTTCTTAACCACAGCTGAGATGTAGATCAAGTCTACGTGAAGGTTAAAGAGGAGGCATGCAGCCATGAAGGCCACATTCTTTTTATCAGAACTGAGCAGCAGGACCTGGATTCAATTTGCTCCGTGCTTCTGTCTTCCTCTGATAACCACCATCAGATGCAGTGGGTTCCGGGAGTGGGAGTGAGTGAAAAGATGCATTAGGCTTGGATAACCCCCAAAACGTATTGAGTGAGTCCCAGTGCACATGACTCAGTGGTCTGGGAGAAGCCATTTCCGGTTAAGCTCTTGATCACATCAAGGAGGACATCTGTGTGCCGTGATAGTCTTTAACACCCAATTAAAGGTCGCATTTGACATTGCAGCAAAAAGCTGTAGTGGAAAGAGCAGTAGTCTCTAAGCTCATTGTTTAGGTCACAGTTTCTCCATTCATTGACAGTATTGCTTTGGAGAGTCCACTCTTTCTGTGCCGCAGTTTCGTCGTCTCTAAATCTAGTAGGGGACAAGAGCATGGACCCTGCCCCTGACTTTGCCCAGCTCTACTTTGGTCCTTGAAGCTCCCTCCCTCCCCCGCACTCAGATGACTCCTGTGTCATTTATCCTGTTATGCTTTGCTATTCTTTTGCATCATTCTTATCTTCTCCCCACCAAAGTACTTGACTCAGAACCACACCTCGCTCAATATTTGAATTATCCTCAAAACTTACTTCTGTCTTCCATCTAATAAACGTCCCATAGACATTTGTTAAGTGAATAAAGACATGGTTCAGTGGTTCTCAGCAGTCAAAGTGCCTCAGAGTCAACTGGAGAGATTTAAAATACGGATGCGGGGGCCACACCCCCAGGGACTCTGACTCCCAGTATTTGGCGTATTTGTTGTTAAACTCCGGAGTGATTCTGATGTGCGGGTCTGAGTGGGGAACCAGGGGACTGGGCTGGTTCTCGGTGGTCTGCAGGGTTACCTGGGAGTGTCATGCCCACCCTACCCCCTTAAAATGCCTGTGTATTTACCTTTTCCTCACGAGTATCGAAGGCATGACGGAAATGTCCTGATTTATCTCACCTTTAAAGGTACTCAGAATAATGAATAAGGAATCTATCATATGGAGGTAGGCACACAGCAGTATGATATTACTGATCTAGGCCATTTGGTTCCTATTTTCCAGAGTGTGTTATTAATTAGCTTTCCTTTGGGAGGAAAAGATAAATTACTGTTTTTCACTAGACGTCGGGAATTTGACTGACTGGCATATTTTTAACAACTGTGGACCCTGGAAACACCAAAACAGGAAGGGGTTAAAACATGGCTCCTTCTAGCATGGAACTCAGAAAGTCTGGCAATGGTGTGATTGTGCAAGTGTTTTGATTTCAGAAAGTTAAAGTCTTTATTTAATTCTGTATGATGTGTATATAATAATATAATTTTAAGGCACCTGCTTCAAAATAGAAACTGGGATGTTGGAGATAATAACAATAAACAAAAATTAAACCAGACTGGGCTCAGTGCCCAGGAAAGCTATCAGAATCCAAGAACTAGGCAAGGAATAAACTAATATGGGGGGAAAAGGAAGGAATGGATGAAGCTGTAACTGCCTCTGTTAGAAACGGCCACTCCACTGTGTGGTCGCTGCTGAACAATTCCATGGGGCATTTGTTGGGTGGGTGGAGTTCCTGCCCTTCTCATTTCAGTGACAAACTTCCAAGGGAGCTTGTCTTTCTAAAATGTCAGCCCTAAACATGCCAATAATTACAGCCATCTTGCATTATGTTTGAACTTTTATAATGCTGTAAACCACTTGGCAATAAATGGGCCAGAAATAAAAATAGAAGTTCAGAGCAACTTTAACTGAAGTTAGAAGAGAGCCTTCATGTTTCCCAGGGTGCCTAACTGTCATGTGATTTACATAAACAAGGGAGGAAATCCTCTTGGTGTGTTTAGGGGTGTGCGTCTAATACAGGAACCCATGTTTTCCTGTTATTGAGAAGCATTCTTTAATCTTTTAAGCACATTTTAGGACCTGCATATATTCCAGGTGTGCTGTTTCCTTTAACATTAAAACAGCAGAGCAGGGCATGCCTCTCAGAGAAATGTTAGATCTCCCTTTTGGGTCATACAGGCACACAAAATAAATGAGTTAAATTAAACAGACAGGCAGCCCTGGGGATACTGGTAATACCGCCTGAATTTAGTTAGGGGAATGGTTGTTCCTAATGGGACTTAAACAGACTTACACGTGGAACTATAGGCTGGACAGGCCATCTGTGAGTGGAAGGCTATAGAATGTCCTCGACTGTGTTAAGAGATGATTACTTTTTAACCATGGAAGTAAATGTAATTGGTGTGAAATGTGGATAAGCTTTTAGCCAAATATAACTGAAATCATGGACAACAAACCTGAGCATTATTTGAATTTTTTTTAACTTTGCTAAATTCTGGTTATGAGCAGAGGGAGAAGATTGTACTGAGACCCTAAAAATAGCCTAGTCCTGGAACAGTAGGGTTCTCACCAGACCTAAAGGCAGGGTGCCCACATTTCATTCCCCTCCAGGTCGCTGCTTCCCTGCCCTAAGGCCCGCAGACACCGAAGCTGCAGGCAGCTCTGTCTGGTATATGTGAAGGAGAGCCTTCTGACCACCAACCGTGACTGGAATGGGTGCTTTCTGTCCTCATCCCACAAGGCTTCTTTTTCTGCCGTCCGTGGAGCATTTGCATGGTTATTTGAAAGTGGAGGATCTGTGGGCTTACTGAAACTAAGAAGGAATGCGCCACTGATGCGCACTCTTACTAGGATTGCTTTCATTACAAGGAGTGTTTTCCACTTTTCCTCGCTCCTTCTACTTAATCTTAACAATTCCTACAGCCGGGGCTCAGGAGGGGCTTTTAGGAAAACCCTTTTAAAATCCTTAATTACCTCCCCACCCTTGAGGCTCTAAGTCGGGGAGTAGGCAGACCTAGAAGTATTCAGAGTGACTCTCTGCTGGTGGCTGGTGCTGGACCTCTGAGAGGTGACAAGGTCCATCCTCAGCATGGAGGGGAGAACTAAGGCCGGGAGCTGGAAGGGTTCTGACCCTGCTGGTGTGGTGACTTCAAGAATTCATACGGGGCCAGGGGTGGGGGGACCCAGAGTGCCAGATATAGTTATAATCAGATGCAAAGTAGATATAAACCCAACTATATTTTAAAGCCAAATCGTTCTCTCTCTCTTTTTTTTTTTTTTTGAGTGAGGTATTACTTCTTATCACTGAAGCCTGGAATATTTACACTGGACTATAAAATTAGAAATATGCATTGCACTTCCCTAGGGTAACCAGTAACCTCCACTTCCTGTAAAATGCAGCCTTTCCCAACCGCCCCTGCCTGATGCCCGTCAGCCCCGCGCGCTGCTTTCCCTTTGACCATCACTGGGCGTTTGTAGCCTCCATTAGAGGTACCCGGTGTCAGTTGTTCCAGCCGTGTTCCGTGTGAGTGGATGAAGGCATAGATGAAGCAGCCCTTTGATTATAATTATGTTGTAACTGCTTGAGAGTGCAGATTGTAACTTCTGTTTCCTTCGCATTCACCCCTCACTAAAGGTGCACATAATGATTTTCATTTTCTTTCTCTGCTTCTCTTTCTCTCTCTGTACTTGTCTCCAGCTCTCCCCATCCCTTTGTCCCTCTTTCCCTCCCTCCCTCCCTCCTCTCTCCCCCCAATACGCACACACATATCTCTCTGTATATACACACACAGGTGTATATATACACACTGTACACATACACAGATAGATACATATTATGTCTTTCTCTCTCTCTCATTGCACATATGCATGTAGGTATAAAGTAGAAACACCACTGAGTGAGGACCCAAACCACCCTTCACATCCACTAATCCGAGTGATCTTTTCTTGGCAGTGACAAACAAGAAACCCACGCAGGCGTCCATCACGAAGGTCAAACAGTTTGAAGGCTCCACGTCGTTTGTGCGGAGATCACAGTGGATGCTGGAGCAGCTTCGCCAGGTTAATGGCATTGATCCTAATCGGGTGAGTGAGCTGTCCAGTGCTGAGCGAAGGGGTTCTTTTCACACAGCGGCTCTCTCACTGACCTTGGCAGTTGTCTGAGACATTTTTAACAAGGCTATTTCTCTGTTTCAGTTATGAGGCTAAGACTTTCTGATTCCTGTGCCCTTCTTATGGGAAATTATAAATCTTTTCATCATGTTTGATGGAGACACCTAGCGGGATGCATACTGAAGAAATGCTACCTCCAGTAATATGTTTATCAGCCAAGTGCAAAGAGCAGAGTTCAGATAATCATATCCATGGGTATCAGTATGAAAATTGAAACCATGTTCATTGAAGCTCTGTTTATCTCCGAATGTCACCAATAAGATTTATTTACCAAAACTCAAATAAATGATCTGTACCTTAAAAACTACATATTACAATTCGTTTGGGTTTAATAAGAGAAATATTTCATGGTAGAATTATCTATTTCAAGCACATTCTCTTTGCTCACACCCACCCACCATAAAAGACATCAATAATGAGGAAAAATAAACTGTAAAATGCAACTATGTACTAAAATAGTAAGGGGGAATCTTTTGCTGCCAAATGTTAGGGACAAGATGAATATGGTTCAGTGCTGAGATCCTGAAGGAATCCTTTTCCAAGTCATTGGGAAGGCAGTGTGTAGTCTGCATTCTGACACAAGCTGACATGCAATTAAGCTACACGGAATTCTGTGCTCTTAGCTTCCTGGGAACATCTGAAAATACTGAGATTTGGGGTTTGTTTGATCAACAGAGAAAGGCGACTCTCCATGCACCTAGGTGCTAATGAAGACGAGTCTTGTGATTAGGACCAAACTCTTTGAAAGGTGCTTTAGCCTTTATGAGTGTCTTCACGTGGTAAACTGGGAGCAGCGGTTTTTACAGCTTGAGATCAGTCATTATTTCATTGTCTTTTCCAGGACTCTGCAGAGTTTGACTTGTTGTTTGAAAACGCTTTTGATCAGTGGGTAGCCAGCACAGCCTCAGAAAAATGCACCTTCTTCCAGATCCTCCACCACACCTGCCAGCGGTACCTCACAGACCGGAAGCCGGAGTTTATCAACTGCCAATCGAAAATCATGGGAGGTGAGTGGGCGTTTGTATGACTTTAGTCATCCTGTTTCCTTCAACTCACTTTTACATACAAAGTTAGGTGTTCAGCAGCATAATTAACGACCAGAAAAAAAAGAATCGAGATGCTCAGTTACTCGGCATGAGGACCATTCCAGGGAGTTCACTGTATGCTTATCTAGACACAGTGGTTTGTTTTCACTCTTGCCCAAAAGCTGATCTTTTGAGGAAATAACCATTCAGCTAAGATTATTTGTACCGAGAGAGCAAACCTATCCCATTATTAGAAAAACCTTTTAGTTTGGTTTCTTCACTGCTATTTCTATAATTTCATTGCAGAAGAGTTTTTGGGTTGCTTTTTCCTAGTATTTCCCAAGATATTTTACAAATATTAACATGAATGCTCCTACAGATGTGGTCCCGTTCATTCAGATAGCAACCAGTCTCACGTCTATTCCTCGAACGGCAGGCAGAGCTGAGGTAGGATGAGTTCTGTAAGCCAGCCTTAAGGGGGCGACGACCAGCAGGGGCATCTGAATGAGAAACATTTAGAGGGTGCTTAGCACGTTCCTTTTAGGTGGCATTTCTTTTTAGAGAATTGAAACTGTGCTAAAAAGAAGAAAGCCTTGCCAGTCACTCTGAGATGAGGAAGACTCTTTATATCATTGGTCTTTTCACTGACCTGTTCTCCTGGTTTTGAAAGCATCTTTTAAAAAATGCACCGACTTTGTCTTAATCCAATGTCAAGTGAAGGTCACGTGAGAGACATGACCTCTCCTTGGGCTGTGTATATCTTTCATATGAACACGAGGCAGAATTATTCTGTCCCAGCAGTTGATGTACACGCTGTCATTTTGCTGTTATGCCGCTAGACGTGTGGAGAAGACGCTGTCCAGTACTTCATTGTTACCCACTGAAGTGTTCGTGTTCCTCTGAAATAGGGAGTTGCTCACATCATAGGAACCGTGAAAGGTCTCCCTTAGGCACTAATGCAGACTCTTGTGCTATAGCTTCTCTATTTCATCTTAAAAAAATGTAAGAGTTGACGAGTGCATATTTTCTTTAAAGTGGCCACATCCTATGGTACAAAAAATGAAAAAAAAATTAGACATAAGTGTTGAAAGGAAAGGGAATATCAAACATTAACCTCTTACTGTTTGGAAAATATAATAAGATGTAGCTTTCTATCATGTCTGTGCCACCGAGGCTGTTCAAATGAATCCTGCTTTGAAAGTCCAGCCTTAATGGACTTAGCCAAAGGTCACAGTGCCCATCTGAGGACCACAGATGGCCACGTTTTCAGGAAATGGAAAATTGCCCAGGAAATCCCAGCTTTCCCTCATTCTTCATTAGGATTTTCTCTGCTATCTTAGAATCAAATTTGTCTCTTGAGCTGAAGTTCCTGTTATGAAACATTTTCCCCAGTGATATCAGTATGGTCAGTAGCTTGTCTGGCTAGTGCTTAAGCAGAGTCTCCTCTAAAAATAATATGACATATGGATTTGAAATTTCTGTTGCCCTTGGAGATAGACTTCCCTCAAGCATTCCACTCCCCCAGGTTCCATCCTGAGAGCAGAGAGCATCAGAAACAGTTCCGTCCACAGGAAGGACTGCACGTCCTCAGAATGGAATTGTGAGGTGGAAGCAAGGTGGGCGGAGGCTCACTTCTCCTCTGTCCCCACGAGGGAAACAAGCCGCCTCTTTGCTGCCAAGGTTGGGGAGAGCTTTGGGACTCTTCTCTTCCTCCTCTTCTAAGGGACGGCACAGAGTAGCCCTCTTCTCTGTTGCATCTGAAGCTCTCATTTATTCTCTCAGAACAGACTCTGTCATTCATTCCTTCTTGGTTCATCGTCCAATCAGATGTACCCTCAGAGTTCCCACACATTCCCACCCAGCTGCTTCTGTCAGTCATTGACCCAGTCTTCCGATGTCTTCCACTGCCCTAGGGACCCCAAATTATGCCAAGTTGAGACAGGAATCTATATATCCAGTGTTAAATTGTTGGTATGTATATTGCATAAAGCTAAAGACTGATTTCCCATAGTAAGAAAAAGAATAATTTGATGAGACCAAGTGCTAGCAGTGGCTCTGCCTTTTGTGACCATAGGTATGTCTCTCGTCTTCCTTAGACCTCAGTTTTCCCTGGTGGAACATGTGGAGGTTAGACTAGAGGAAATCCGAAATCCCTCTCAGGTCTATCACTGGAGAATCTCTAATTCCTAAGTTATAGCTTTATTGTGTGGGTTAGTCATGTCTTAGCCACTCACATAGAAGAGTTAAGCAGTTAAATATTGACTAGTCCTGGATTCCCAAGGAAGGCAAAAAGTTTGAGCTGAGCACATTGTAGTTTGTTGGCAGCACGTACATCCTTAAAGAGCACAGCCGGTCTTATTTAAACAGCCGCTTACCCTTGATAGCAGCTGCACCCACACGCCCTAGGTAATTAGCATGCTGATTAGTTTTCCTTTCTGCCAGTTATCACAATTCAGAGACTTCAGAACCGTGTAGTTTTCGGGTCACTACATTCTGTCCGCTTTAACTTTTACGGTACCCACCCCATCTTCAGCAGGTGATATCTGTTCCAAATTTGACAGTAGCTTTTGGTCTGGCCTCACAGTAGGGGCCACAAGTGCTAGACACAGTTGTTTGCTGTGCCGTGAACTGTGATAGATTTTGTGATCTGGAGGAACTGGTGTTGGTGTTGGTGTGCTGCCCTCCCTCCGCCAGGTCCCTTACGTATGTTATCTCACTTACTTTTTACGTCAGCCTTTGGAAATATCATTTATTATCTCTATTTTACAGAGAAGGAAATAGGAGCAGAGAGATTATTAAACAGCTTGCCAAGGCTCATACAGCCTTTGCCCTCCAGTGGAAGAGCTGAGATTCAAACACAGGCTCTCGCCACTCTAAGAGCATCTTCTTTGGAGCCACTGAGTGGCATGCTCTAGGGAACACCATTGACATGGTCTTTGGTATGAATGGTGCCCCCTGGAGTTGTGCAGGAAGTTTTGGAACTATTTTAGCTAGCACATTCCCAGGTATTAAAAAAAGGGAGCTAAGAGGAGAGGGCCAGAGATTATGGGCAGTTTTAACTTTTTTCCTACTTTTATCACAGGTATATGATTTAAGATAATGACTCAAGCATTTTTCCCCCATACTAAGAATGATGGGATCATCAGGGACCTCTGAAATTGTCTTACTTTTGTTTGTTGTTTGCTTTTGTTCATCAGAACTTCAGAATATTAAAGAGATGAAACTGAGGCTGTTTTAGTGGGTGGGGAAGACGCTGGAGCCCTGCCCACTCACCAGGCCTCTCGGATGCTTTGTTTCTGGTCCAGCCACGTCACTCTGAAGCCCAGTGATTTCCAGTGGCACGCTGACTTTTGAAGGACAAATCTGCCTGATTCTCACTGAACCACACTTTCTTTAAGACCCCTTCAAATAGGATTGTCGTGTAAGCCTCTATAGTTCCATGAGGTTCTTCTCTTAGTACTTATCGATTGTGTATCTCCCATATGGCCATGTTTTTCTTCTTCCCTTGGGGAAAGTCAGTTCCACAGAAATAAATTCTTTAGCATAGTTGAAACTCTTTCCTCCAAACATGATATTTCCTTGTCTCCAGAGAATAGCCTGGGAAGCTTTGCTCTGATGCTGGTTACAGGATCCAGGAGACACGTCTAAAGTCTACAGTTGTAAAGACCCTCATAAATTGAAAGTGGGCAGGGTGCTGTAAGCAGCTGTGAGAGGAGAAGCATTGGCTTCCTCTGCCTCAGCCAGCATCTTTGCAGCCATCTTCCTTCCCTGGGTGGTTGGGGGGGTTTGTCTTCAAGCCTTGATCATTCCTAACCTCCACCTTACCTCTTTCAGTTCAGTAAAGATCAGTCACCCTCAAAACTACAAAGCCATTCATTCAGCTGCTGGGTTCCTAAGGTCCCAAGCAGCCTGTATAGACGGAAGGCAGAGGTGTGGAGCCAGTCTGGCTGCTGCGATGTCATGTGGCATCGTGAGCGATGGAGCCCTGAAGGTGAACTCGCGGGTTCACAGAGGTCATATTTGCTTCTGAGATGGTAGCTTTTTTCTGTTTATCACAAGCAGAGATGATGCTGTGCTGTTACATGTGTGATAACACATCTGTACTTCAAAGATGCCTCGAAGGAGTTAATCACACACACAGAACTTTAGACTCCAGAAGAGAGACTTGCTTTCAGCTAGTTTATTTGGGGGGAAAAATGGTCTGCTCCAAATAGTAGCGTCAGTTTAGTTATAATGGACGTGTCATATTGAGACACAGTCCCAAGAGAGACTTTGTTTCACTTTCTTCATGCTTCTTAATAAAATGTGAGCAAATCCCACATAGCTCCCCGTTGCTATTTTATTTCCACTGACCTTCTATAGTGATTACTGCTGGCCTGTTATTTTTTTATGCCTAATACTGGAAACTAAAGAAATCCTTAATGGTGTTGGCAACATCTATGTTAGAACCACAAAATAGATGCTTTGTAAACCTATTTTCTTTTTAATAAGTGTGGTAAATTATTTGCAGGAGAAAAGAAAAAGTGATTTATTCTTCAAGGCAAGGTTTTATTTGCTGGCCGGACCTAGCATTTTCCTTCAATTCTGAGCCCAAGCCCCTTGGCCGACTCATTCAGTTACTTGTCCTCACTCTTTCATCTGTTCTCTGTGGGTCATCCTTCCGTGGGCCCCACCTACACTGTTCGAGGCCCATTTGGTTCCACAAGCGTTTACTCAGCACCATCTGCCTGTCGTGTACTGAGCTACCTGTGAGCATCCAGCAACCAAACAGGCACCTTTGCCAACTTTACTTACGTTCCTGGAGGGACGTCAGGTGCAACAGGTATAAAACAATTATGATACACCAGGGTGATGGTGGAGCTGCATTTAAAGGATGGTTGGCAGTTGACAGACATTACAGGGGCAGGATGAAACAAATTCTCTTATTACAACAGTAAATCCAGACTGTTGCATTTCAGTGTTGGCTATATTCAGAATTTGAA